TACGATTTAGGGTTCTGGGGTTTAGGGTTTAGGGTTTTAGGGTTTAGGGTTTAGGGTTTAGGGGTTTAGGGTTTAGGGTTCTTAAAGGATCATGGGACTTAGTAAGTAGGGTTATAATTAAGGTAGCTGCACTTATGTTTACTTATGACCCCACTTAAGGGACTTACAACAGGGCTTACTAAGTCCCATGATCCTCCAAGTTCAGTGGGGGTCTGCAGAAATGCGGTCCTTGAAACGGAGGACGTAGGGCTCAGGTTAAGGATTTAGGGTAGGGTTTAGGCGTGAGGGAGGAAACCAGGGTTCGGTGTTTAGGGACACCGGCCTGTACATACATACATACATACATACATACATACATACATACATACATACATACATACATACATACAAACATACACAGATACAAACAGACCCCTTCACACAGACACACACGCACCAACAGACACGCGAACAGGAACTAGTAGAAGGTCCGGGGTAGAAGGACCCAGCGTTCTGGGACTTGAGGAACCGAGACGATGCCTCCTGGTCTTTGGGTTTTGGGGTCTTGGCCAGCTAACGTCTTTCGGATCTTTGGTATGAAGAGGTCAGGACCTTAACCCTAAACCGTCTTAAACATGTGTCGAGGATCCCTCGATCATCTGAGGTCTCGTATTCGCGAAGTCTTCTGGGTAAAGGGCTTTAGGGATTTAGGGTGTAGAGGTTTGGGGATTCAGGGTTTAGGGGTTGGGAGTTTAGGGGTGTAGGGTGCAAGGTTTTAGGGTTGGGTGCCAAGAGAGTCTGGGCTGCTGCCAGCTATGGAAGACCCCTCATGCAGGCCATGGCTACCTTGGTTCAAGAACATCAGGTGTGGTACTGCTTCGTTTCTTTTACCAGGTGGCACTTTGGGAAACTGTAGAATTTCCCTTACGGTTCCTATAGAGGTACCGATTCATAAAAACTTTTCAGGGCCCCAGAACTACAACCCAGTTTAAGCTAAGCACTGCAACAGCTTTGAACCTGAAAGTCCTAACCGTCACAGCTTTTTGCCGAATTCCAATTCCTAACCCCGTAAGCCTTTAACCCGACACCCCTCAACCCTTCAACTCCTTAACCCTAAACCCCTAAACTCCTAAACCCCGAAACTCCTAAACTCCTAAACCCTAAACCCTAAACCCTAAACCCCTAAACCCTAAACCCTAAACCCTAAAACCCTAAACCCCTAACCCTAAACCTTAAAGCACAAAATCCCTGGAGGAAATCACTTGGCAGATGCAGGGCTCGTGGCGCTGCTGGCGCAAGCACCGATGCTCCGTTACCGGTCTAATGTAGGGGCCTAAATAATTACCTATCCTATTATTTTTGAGGCTCGTTAATATATTTATAGTGCAAAGGGCCCCAAACCCTGTTCTAATCATTAAGGCGCCTGGGGCCTAATACTATTTTGGGTGTTCCTTAATATCTTTACAGTATAAAAAGGGCCACAAAACCCTCTTCTCATTATTAAGGCCCCTACATTGTTGTTCCACTCCTTCCTATAGGGCTGTAGGAGTCTACTTGGGTTTAGGGTTTAGCGTTTAAAGTTGAGGAGTATAGGGTTTGGGTTTAGGGTTGGGGTTCAAGGGTGTTGTTTGCGGCTGGGAGAAACGAGCCACTTCGGCAATTTAGGGTCCATGGGCGTCCGGTCATTTCATGTCATTGCAGTTCTATTCATACCAATACCAGTAGCAGCATGTGTCACAGTCGTTGCTATTGTTTTCATCATCACCATCATCACCAGTCAAAATTCTATTGTCACTACCATTATCACCGTCAGCAACATCAGCACAATCGAAACAACATCATCACCACCGTCATCATCAGCACAAGCTCATAATCGTCATAATCATCACCACCCTCATCGTGATCACCATTTTCATCATCATGTTAACCGTCAGCATCATCAGAGCAAGAACACCAACAAGTTTAACACTACGGCATGTTCGTCATGTTCACGTTCACGGTGCCAACCATCATCATCATCATCATCATCATCATCATCATCAGCATCATCATCATCCTCATCATCATCCTCATCATCATCCTCATCATCATCCTCATCATCATCCTCATCACCTTCATGACCCTGATCATTGTTATCAGATATCATCACCATTAGCGTCTTCACCCTCCTCGAAGGCACCATGCTCACCGTTATCCTCCTCATCATCATCGTCAGCATCACCACCATCACCACCATCATCATCGTCATCATCATCAGCAGCAGCATCGTCTGCAGCATACATCACCATCAGCATCACCATCATCATGACCATCATCATCAGCTTCCTCACCTGATCAACATGCTCATCATCATCATCATCATCATCAGCGTCATCTTCATCATCATCACCTTATTCACCACTGTCATCATGATCATCATCGGGGCTGACAACATGTTCGTGGGAATGTTGGTCGCATGATGACGCGGATGCCGGCAACAAGCCTCAACTAGCTCAAGAACCTCGGACCCAAGTCTAACGCTGGCAGACGTGAGCTGGGCCAGATATGAAGGGTTTGTTTCGGTGTTGTTGTTGGGCTCCTTACGGCCTTGCTCGTAGGGCTTAGAGGTTGGATGGATTTCGGATTGTGCTATCACTTTCCGATAGTACCCTCAACCTATGTGCCTGGATCCATGTTTACTTAATTGAACCTAAACCCGAAAGCCGAACTCTAACTACTCGTCCTCACTCTTGCCCTAAACCAGACCTCAGGCCCTTGCCGTGTCGAGATCAGAGAGCCCACTGCAGTTTCATTAGGTAGTGGATCTCTAGGTTGCCCAGTAGTGCCCTTTTGCCCTTTTTCTTTTTGGGTTCCCATATTCAACCCGAAACACAGCAAAAAGGGTCCCCTTATAAGGGGCTACCGGGGAACCGAGACCTCTAACGCAGACCCAAGACTCCCTTAAGCCAACTCAATGGCATCCGCTGACGTATGAGTCCAACAAACCCTATGAGCAATGTCAGAAAAAGCTTGAACCCAGCATCGAAAAGCACGTACTTACAAGGGCTCTCTGGGGCCCTAATATCTATAGGCCCTAAATGCCAAGGCTCGCTGCAGATGCTCTCGCTTGCTGGCAACGACCTGACCAGCGTAGCTGCAGAGGCGCTTGCCGAGGCGCTGGCCGGTGGCGCTCTGCGTCCTGGACACTGTTTTAGCGGCCTCTTAGGGCTCTAGAAGGGTCCTCTTAAAAGGAGCTCTACAAGATAAAAAGGGCTGAGGATGTACAGTTTCGGGTTTAGGGGTTTTGGGGT